TTTCTTCTAGAATAAAGACACCATCGTCTTCTTGAAATTCATTTTGATATGATCAATTCCCGTCGGCACCTGACCAAGCAGTCGTCATTCGAAGGATTACTTTCGGATCTGTTACTGTCGTGCTTGAAAGTTCCTTATCGCATCGACAGTTAACAGGTTCTCCAGTGAACCGTTCTATTCGGATCTATATCGGTACGAAATCATTTGAGCATCATCATCATTTTCTCGTCTTTTGGCCATGAGGGAACAAGTCAAGCACCCATTTTGTCCATTTTGCGGTTGATACCAATATTGATTTCAAATTTTCTCTGATTGTGAGAAACCGATGCTTTCTTATCTTGTCGTATATGCTAGGAATGTCTTGATTCATTTTTGACTTTAAAGTAAGATAGCCAGAATTTATATTCAAACGATAAGTAATAGATCGATATAACAATTGAACATTCAGCTTTGATTTTTAAGCTTGAATTTATCAATATGTGTAATTAAGAAAGGCAGCATTAGTCAAATCTTAGCGTGTGTTAATACAAGTTAAAAAAACAAGATAAAGCGGCTACGGAAATTAGGATTAGGTTGGTTGACTCCTAGCCACAGGTGGAAGTTCCTATTTCCTACGGAAACGGCAAAGCAAATTTTTCTCGAGAAAAATTAAATTCCTTTTGTGACTTGTTTTTTTTTTCGCTAGGAAAACATAAACTTTCAAACGCCGTCTCATCATTTCATTTTTTGTGAACGGGAGAATGTTTACCATAGATACTACACAGACGGACAGATGGATATCCTTTATGGGGTTTATGAACGTTGTTTCTGTGCGTTATAAGAATTCTTAAAAGAAAAAAATGAAATTATGCCACACTGTAAAATTAAGTGGGTGTGGCCGATTTTTTCTATTTTTGTAGAGGTACTACAGCATTGCCTATGAAATGCACGGTCAAATTTTTGTAGATTTGTGTGGTATAGTTTGTGGGTAATGATCAAAAAACCAATCTTTTCAGCGCTACAGACGTGTGCTTCGATTGATTTCCAGCGATAGCTTCATTTTGGTGGCCAGCAAAATATTTATGACTTACTTAAATCGGTTCAAAATTGTACGCTGATCAAGAATATATTTCCCTTATGGGGTTTTTGGAGCTTCTTTCAAGGAGTTACATAAACGTTTCGACAAAATAAATAAACCTCCCAACCTTCGGTGAGGGGTATAAATAAGCTAAACATATGAAAAGTAAAATTTCGATTCATTTAAGCCATCTTCGTTTCAGTTTGTACGATCGTGCGACTGCTAAATTTTCCATAGCAAACTTGGCATTAGTTCGCTTTCCTCCTCTAAAATCAACTTTTTTATGTGATTTGTGACATTTTTCATCATTAATATGCTTTCTAATTTTAACTGGGGCATGCCATCGCCAGACATTAGCGGATGTTTAAGAAATCTGCTCCCTTCGATCTGCGATTGTGGACAAGATCCGACGTACTCTCTGAATGCCACTACCTTTCTAAAATGCAAAGACTTGTCTTCAGAACATCTGACCCAATGGACATCATGTAAATGCCTGAAGAAGTTAATATCAATAAAATACTTGACTTTATTAAAGCTCCTAAGCTACCCATTTAGTCTACCTTAAGGATAAATAAACAACCGATAGTCTTTGTTGCTAGCGCTCATTCTACCTTTAGCCCTACAATTCATTTAGTAAATTGTAACAAAATCCAGAGGACAAGTTCGATAGTTTTGCGTGCTGGACTTATTGAAAAATGTATATTTATTTTGATTTTTAAAAATTCTCTCATCCAATAATAACCACTTACAGGGACATTACCTGAAATCCATTAAACGTTCAAAATAATAAATATATCCAACAAAAGTATCAATTACTAAAACAGTTACAAATTACAAGTTTTCGAATTTCTTTTCATGCACACGCATCAATTCATTCACCTATTCACCCAGATACTAGGGAGAGGTACTTTAGATTTACCGCCTTTGATATTAATGATATAGTTTTTCTTTGCCGATTTTATAATGGTTTATTGTAACAATGAATTGAGAGCAGTTTCTTGTAAATGCAGTTCGCCCTAAATTTACGCATTAACAGCTTTACTACACTTCCAAAAAAAAAAAAAACAGTAACTATGACATCGACGCTAAGGGTTTCCTTTCTGCTTTCCTTCTTTTTTTTTTTTTTTTGTTTTTCTCCGGCAATTTAACAATTGCTCTGTCAACTAATTCATAACTGAGTGCTTATCGTACCCTATTTGACTAAGCATTTAAGTGATCTTGATTCACATTTTTCAAACTATCCCTCTATCTCCCTCTTACATATTTCTTGTTTTCTCTTCCTCTTTCCATCAATATCTCCTCTTCTGTTTTTCATTTTTTCCTCTACTAAATCTGTTAGTTATACAATACATACAGTCGCATACATATATTATTGTTAATGTTGTCCATAGAACACAACACAACAACAGAGTTCACGACTATGAATTTTGCAACATTGTTTTTTTCATTATTTTTTTTTTTTTGTTTTTTTTTTTTAGCAGACATACAGTCTCAGTACTTTCAGTTTCAGGGTAACTTAATACGTATTGTAATTGCAGTGCAATGAAGCGCAATTTCTAACAATGTAACAAAAAAAGAAACTTAAAAGAAAAAAAAAAAAAACTGAAAAAAGTAGACCCACTAGATTTTTCATTGGCGATAAGCTACCTTTTTTGTGTACATTGCTTATATAGGAAAATGAAAAATGTATATGTATATGTGTGTATGTATGAGTTTGTGTGTGTTTGTTTGTGTGTGTGTGTGTGTGTGTGTGTGTGTGTGTGTGTGTGTGTGTGT